GGACTCACCACGTGAAGCGCTGATGAGAATGATCATCATGAGTGTTGGTGAATTTGGTACTTTCTACAAAAACCTCAATGACTGTAAGAGTCGTGTGGCTTTGCAAGGCAAGGTGGGGTCTCCTTATCCTACCTCCAGTAAATACACCTTTTCCCTAATGAGTAATTACAGATATTCTTCTCCATATATGAACTGCTTGTAACACTTATGTTATTGAATTTGCTGATCGCGATGATGACAAGGACTTACGAGAAAATCGCCGAGACGGAAAAGGAATGGAAGCGTCAGGTACTTCTTTCTTTTTTTTTTAACACAGAATACTCGAGACTGCAAAAAATGAAAAAGTGCGCAGGTAAATCGAGTGGCTTTCAACTAAATGCTTCGCCAGCTCAGCTAGTGTGCGGTTGCGGTGTAGAACTACCGTCAACGAGCTCTCTCGGATAGTTTGATCCCTGTTCCTTGGGCTTCTTTTAGAGGGGGATTCGAGCAAATGGAGTCTAAAAACTTTCTCTGTGTAGAGAGTTCCTTTTGCACCCGCGTTGTGCTGCAGCCTCGGTGAATGGTTATCTTTAGGACTCGATGGCATCGGATTCTCACCTATATTTCAGCAACTTTTTCATGTCCATGAAGCTAAAACATTATATAGCCGTCTAGAAATTCGAACAGGCTTACTTATTTTTATGGATTTTTGGTATTTTTTGGTACCCAATTTCACTGTTCAATTGAACTAACCACAAATCGATCGACTGTGCCACTAATCAGGGAATGACTTCATTGATGCGATGTCCCTCTGTAAGTGACCGATAAATAGAGAAAAAGTAAATCTCTAAGAAATTTATTTCTAGGAAAAGTACCGTAACGACGTAAAAATAAGATTTATATGAAGTGAAACCGCCATGCTATGCCTGTATTGCACAAGAGCACAGATTCTTTTTAATAGCGCTAACCAAAAGCTTCCTTCTACTTTTTTTGCTTCCCTTCCTCGAAGTTCGCTCATGCAATGGCTTGAGAGTTTCTTAGTACATATTTATTTATTTACTTATTTATTTATTGCACGCTTAGGTGCGCTACATTAATTCACATCTTAGCATTATATTCTAGCCGGAGTTTGTTCTTTCCAAACAAAGACAGGTTCCAAAATGCCGACAAGGAAGGAGCCGACAGATTGGCATAAGCAAAACTGATTTCTACATATTGCACAAGTATTTGCTGCAACACTTCTTCCCCCCCCCCCAAAAGCCAGTGCACAGAAAGCAGTTGCCAAGTGCCAGATTGTTTAGACAAATATGGACGGGGTGAGGACGCACCAGGGACTTTGAAGAAGAGGTGCTGATATTTGATCAATAAGCTCACTAGCCGTACTGACTGCGAGGTGAGGTGCTGCAACTAATCAGCAATAGTAAAGACAGGCAGTCTGGCGATGATTCCGAACGGCATGCTTTAGTGTTTTTGTTCAAACAGCAGTGCAATGGGTGCAGAATTGAGGAAATAGTGAGGTAGAAAAGCAAAACAGCACACAGTAAAGATAACACAAATTTCCTTAGAGGCCGGCGTAGTCGACGCGAAAACCAGGCTGGAGGAGAGGGAAAACGGCGAAGAGTAGATGCTCGTATCGCCGAGAGGATCGCAGAGACTCCACGTGTGCAGCGGTGCGATTACGCTGCAGCGCGGCAGCGGCGCACAGGCCCTTAGCGCATTGCGGGCACTTCTGGGTTCGCGAAGAGCGTACACTCTCAGTGCTTTAGGGACCCCTATCGCACTGATGCAAGAATGTCTTGCTTGCTTGCCTAATTCTCGTGACTAGGGCTGACGTCTTTATGCAGAGATCATATATGCGGCGACGACTCCGTCGGCTGAAGAAAGTGATCTGCCATTTCGGTTTCAAGACAATGCCACGAAAGCGATCACTCTTTCCTACCTACCGCTCGTAATAACTTCGTATACATACGGTTTTGAATTAAAGCGAGAGATTACGATAAAGTGCGTATGCAGCGTGGAAGTACATGCACCATTGGAAGCAGTAGTCAGGGGCCCAAGGAAACGAAATGTTGCGTTTTTGTGGTCAAAGGTGCGCTAGTTGCAGCGTACAAGGCTTGCCATTCCTTTCTGAGCCCCGCCACGGTCTGTGCTCCGCCCCCAGCAGCAGCGCCCTTCGATTGCCAATGTGACGAGATATTCCACTTCCAGAGTGTATCCTATAACTTTTCATGGGATGCGTGATCAATCAAAGCATGATGCTTGCTGAAATGATAGAGGCTATCAGCATAACATGTGCAAACGACCTCCTAATTGGTTGCTAGCTCGTCCATTATCGGAGGTCAACGGGCAAAGAAAGGGGTCCCATTTTGCGCCTTCTTGACGGATTTCTTTGCTTTTTTCGCCACTGGGGCATTATTCAGCATCTCCACTTCCACTATGAACCCAGTCCAAACTCATCGC